AAATTGCCTTTAATCGGGGTATATTGACCTTTTGTTTTGCTTAATAACCTACTGTAGATTCCTATATTTTGATTTGTTTACCAGAGAATTTAATTTGACCTCATCCGGCAATCTACGCTAAATCTTTTAAGTTGCATGGTTGCACAATAAACAATAATTAAAACGCGATGTCTCTTTCGTATCGTGTTTCGTGATAATTGGGGGCATTTGTGGTCTGTGGATATGGGTATCTAAGAAACTATCGACCTATTATATTTAATAGTTTCCGTTTTTCCCAAAATTTTGGAAACATGCATGGTTACGCGACTTGTTAGCTGCTTTGAGAAATTTTATCTTCTCTATACATCGCTTCATTGCTTTATCAAAGGAAAATCTATGGTTAGCGGTCTATTCAACTCTATTGAGTCTATTTTGAATTTTGATATGTCCAAGGTTCAACCACCACCTACTAAACCTAATACGGAATTACCTACTGGAAATGTCCATCACTGGATCACATTGTAATTTAATATCTCGATCGAGTGACGTAAAGATCCAATGTGACATAAAAAAGTTTATGTGATTTAGTCGAAACCCACAAGTCATGAAAATTTTAAGTTAGCACCATTAGCAAGATGAGAAAAAATTACTAAGGGTTTTGTTAATGGTTATTTGTTCGTATCTTTGAAAATAAATGAACGCCACCGCATTTTCTAAACATTTTTCGGTTTTTGACCATAAGTTCGTTATTTGTAAAGCTACAAGAAACTCCGAAAGGGAAAATTAATCAGCATAAAATTCTGCAATTCTGTGCGACTTTGTATCACACCACACAACACTATTCGAGGATTCCCCCAGGTGCATGGCGATCAAACTGTTCTACCATCTTCCACAAGAATTGCGGACGCCTACGTCGGCCAAAAAATTTAAAAGTCAAATCGGTGAATTTTTCACATTTTCACCAACAACTCATACCTCGACTCATACCATCACGTCAACGAATACCTCCAACCAAGGCCTGCGCGACTATGATTTATTGTAATATGGATATGATGTAAATGATCAGAAATTGGGGAAAAATAATTAAAACAGCTGAATTTTTCCGCGGGTGAAATCCCGGGGGTTGAAAGGGGTGGAAAGTGGTACTTGGCAATTTGTGGTAATAGGTACATATTAATTTCGGGCGAAAATGTTCAATGTAACAGTTATAGAGAATAAAATGAACAACTTTTCTATCTGCGCTATTTTCACATTACTTACCTCTAATTTTCCTAGAAAAACCGGAAAAACCTTTTTTCGTTTTTTGTTCTTACTTTTGCGAAAAAAAGTCGTAAAGGTTTGAAATTTGTAGGAAACGTAGCTACAAACAAGGAGACAATTTTTTTGGGACCGGAAAATTGAACCGTTTCCGAGATATCACGATTTCTGAAAAAAACACATCTTTTTCAAGGAGATGAAAAATCTATTTTTTTTCATCGCACAGAGGTGCGGGGGGTAGTAAAATTTTAGGGAAGACTTATATTTTAATAAACAAAAATAAAAATTATTATTCCTATAGAAAAACTTCTAGAAAATCGCCAAAAACTGGAAAAACAGATTTAAGATATACATGATTTTTGACATGATCAATCAACGTTTTGGATGTTAATAAAGATTTTTTCGAAATCTATCTTCTTGCTTATCTTTAATGTTTGCTAAAATATTGTCTTTTGTTTCTTTATGCTCAACGTTTTAGTTAAAACATCTTTATTATTTCTTTTTTTCTGCATTTTTACCACAATAAAAGCAATTCGAAGTAAAATCGCTTCCTGAACAATTTGTTTTTGTTCACTTACTCTTCTTCCTGGCTATGTTTGACAGCTGATGCAATTGCGTTGGGCTTGTTGATAAACTTGCAAAATAAAATTCGCTATAAGAACGTCTGTTTTACCGGCCAAAACAATAAATGATTTGAGAATTGAGATATAAAACCTGGAATAAACTTCATGATAGATTTTTCATCTCCTTGAAAAAGAGGTGGTTTTTTGTGAGATCTCGGAAACGGTTCAACTTTACGGTCCCAAAAATCTCTCCTTTTTTATAATAAAACAAGCTATGTTTCCTCCAAATTTCAAACGAAAAAAACGGTTTTTCCGGATTTTCTAGGAAAACTGGAGGTTATGCTGGTTATGTGAAAATAGTGCAGATACAAAAGCTGTTCATTTTTTTATTCTCTATAACTTTTGTATTGACCATTTTCGTCTAAAATTAATTGCTTTCCCACAATTTGCAAAATATGTACCGCTTTCCACCCCTTTCAACTCCCGGGATTTCACCCGCGGAAAAATTTAGCTGTTTTAATTATTTTTCCCCAATTTATAATCATTTCACCTGCCTGAAAAACCCGGTTTTGCCCCGTAACTAATTTTTTTTTAAATCAATTATTTTAGCAGCTAGCTTTTTAGTCTGGACCACGGTGGTATACGGTGGTCTATACCACCGTGGCCTGGACTAATATGGAAATAAATGAAATGAGACATTTTGATAAAATATGGATTTTTGTGTAATTTGTCGTTTGCTGTGGAATAATCCATGAAAAATTGTATAACAGAACGATTTAAAAAATGTTTTTTACGCATAATTAACGAAGTAAATGTGACTGTTTCGTAATTGGTAACGTTCCCATTTGTATTCTGTGTCAAGACGAATCCAACGATATACCAATGACCATACCAATACGTTCATACCTCTATGAATCGAGTAGGTAACTCTTATTAAATTGCAAGTTTTTTTTTGCATAGTTATCAATTTACCGGACTTTTTTTGTCAAAAAATCGTAGGGAAAGTGGTACTTTTTTTCACGATTTTTACTATGCGTTTCCATGGCGTTTCGTCCTGTCTATGGCCAATAGCTCAATTGTTGAGTGACAGAAAATGGCGAATGTCAATGATATTATGCAATTATAGATTATTATGGATCACTATGCAAAAAAATTTCGTGTACAACACATGTTGAAAGTGTCTTTTTTTCATGAATTCGCTTGATTCAAACTGCAAATTCATGAAAAAAAGTAACACTTTCAAAACTAGTTGTACAAATAACTATTACAATTGAACGTTTTTTCTCTCAACTTTTTAACATTTTTTAAGGTGTTCGGTTAATACTGGATTATGATAGTTAATGTTTAGATAAACAGAATGAAATCAGCTGGTAGGTCCCTCGTTGCGAATGAACTTACTCATACTATAAATATGTAGCGGTTTCGAATTACTTACTACCTACACTGGAGTACAGTTGCAATCGCAACTTTCATGAATGATGACGTAATTTCATTTAAAGCTCAGCTTTGAAATATCTTAAGCTCTTTTAAAGACTCCTATAGACGGATATAACAGATTCGAATACAGCAACCAGCATTTGTCACTAGATAGCAGCATTGCATGGCCATAAATTGTTATAAACCAGCAATCCCTATCCCGTGGCATCTCTAAACGTTATTTACTCTATG